GACAAGCTTTCAATATCATGTTTTACAAGCCCAAGAAAATGAAGGGTTTTAGCAGTTAGGTGGGAATGTGGAACAACCAGAACACTCATAAATGAAATACTTGATTTATAAAAGGTTGTGGGTTAGAGAGAGAGAGAGAGAGAGAGAGAGAGGTGATAAGATAGTGGCTATGAATCTGAGATAAATGGTCCTTGAAATCAGCTTTATTTGCGTGGGCACCAGTTACCTGACCCCGAATTTTCTTTTCTTTTGGGTAAATGCAACTCTTCTTACTGATTCACGTGGCTATGCCCTTGTTTCTATTACTCAACTTTTTCTTTGGCCATCTGCTGATATCTCCAATTTCCATATGTTTTTCTTGTGAAAAATGGGAAGTTTTATGTCACATGCATCATAGTTAAATTCAAGTTTCTCCATCTTTTTCCTATAGAATGTTGACAACAAGGTTAAGTTTTTATTTTCTAACCCTACCAACCATTGAAGGTTGAGAAGGGTAAAGTGACAGGGAGCTGCGTATAGAATGATTGAGGGCCCCTTACTTATTTCTATGAGACATTTATCTGAAGAATTCTAGACTTTCTAGTGCAGCTGACCTCCAATTCTTTTTTATTTTTTGGTTTTTATCCCTTTTGAGTTTTCATTCTTATCCTGCAAATTTGTAAAAGATTTTTCTCTGAGCCTTCAAACTTTTGGTGGGAATGTGATTACTAGTATGGATTCCATGTGGGTTTACCGGAAAGTGTGTGAATATGTTCTTGGAAGTGTGATTATTCATACTTTGAAATCTATAAAGCTGTGGATTTTAAATATTTGGATTCTGCAGAATCTGCACTTTGAGTTAACCAATGAAATTTGTACTGTTTCAATGCAGATCTGCAAATAACTGCTTCCAACTGATCTAGCACTCAAAGCTGAAATTTGAGCAGCGCCATGGATCTTGAGAGAATTAAGTGTTATGACACTCCAAAGGTTAGTGCTGTATCTTCATTGTGCTTATGTTCATCAACCCTTTTGATGTTTCTGGCTGGTTGTGGTATAAGTCTATATAAGCAAAGCAATTTATGTTTTAGAAACTTGGTGAATGATTGTTCCTAGAATCGACCCGAACACTCAGAAATTTGTTTGTTGGACTGAATTTCCAGAAGGATTCTTGGAAGAATATTATGCTGTTGGCCTACCAGAGCCTTGGAGTAGTGTATGGTGACCTGAGCATTTCCCCTCTCTATGTTTACAAGAGTGCATTTGCAGAAGACATTCAACATTCGGATACGAATGAAGAGATTTATGGTGTACTTTCTTTTGTCTTCTGGACTCTTACTTTAGTCCCGCTGTTCAAGTATGTCTTTATAGTCCTTCGGGCTGATGATAATGGAGAGGGTAAGTACTAAACAAGCAGTTATATGAAAAAAGTACTAAACAAGCAGTGAATGCGTACATCTTGTATTTAGGCTATAACATTTGGTGCATGATTTTCTGCAGGTGGTACATTTGCACTGTATTCGTTGATATGTAGGCATGCGAAAGTAAGCCTTCTGCCCAACCGGCAGCTTGCTGATGAGGCCCTTTCTACTTATAAATTGGAGCACCCACCGGAGAAGGAAAAAAGTTCAAGGGTGAAACTTGTACTTGAGAAGTGCAAGACCTTGCACACTGCTTTGCTAATTCTTGTTCTTGAACTTGTATGGTAATTGGCGATGGCGTGCTCACTCCAGCCATTTCAGGTAGAATGCATTTCGTATTGAAGAATAAAAGATGTAGCAATTTCTTCTGGTTTGATGACTGATTCATGGCTGTGCTTTATTTTAGTCTTTTCTGCGGTGTCTGGCCTCGAATTATCCATGTCCAAGGAGCATCACCAGTGTAAGCAGTCTCGTCTCCTACTCGATTTTCCATTTCCAGTCAATAGGAGCGTAGGATTAATCAGTTTTTGTTTTCTTAAGATTTGTATATGATGAAATGTCAACTTTACTTTAATTATACTGATGTGCGTAAATTTCACTCGCCAATTTTCAGATGCTGTGGTTCCAATTACTTGTTTCATATTGTTATGTCTATTTGCACTTCAACACTATGGCACCCATCGAATCGGATTCTTTTTTGCACCAGTGGTGTTGGCATGGCTTCTGTGCATCAGTGCTCTTGGCTTGTATAATATAATCCACTGGAACCAGCATGTCTATCAAGCTCTGTCTCCTTATTACATGTTCAAGTTCTTGAGGAAGACAAGGATAAGTGGGTGGATGTCTCTAGGTGGAATATTGCTGTGCATAACAGGTAACATCGGAGAATAATTATCATATTCCCCTATATACATCTTGTCGTGTTGCTTGTCCTGCATGTTGATGAGTTGTGGAAAACGTATGCATAAAGCATAAGTTTGCCAGTGCATGCCAGATCCCATATGGTAGAAAGCATTGAACATGGAATTCCAGAAAACCTAACTGATATAATTTCATAGAACTGACATTCATTTCCTGAAATAATTTGATGGCAAATAAATGCAAACGAAAAGAGAGAAACCAAATAAATGCTAATGATATGTGTGACTATGCTTGCAGGCGCAGAGGCAATGTTTGCTGATCTTGGCCACTTCTCATATAATGCCATTCAGGTAATACCTTCCTAGTAATGTCTTCGCTATGCATTTCCAACGCTGATTTGCATACTGATAACAGAAGCTGCAACCCCCTTCGTTGTGCAGGTTGCTTTTACCTTTTTGGTTTATCCAGCTCTTATATTGGCATATATGGGGCAGGCTGCTTACTTATCGCAACATCACCACACCAGTCACCGAATCAGTTTCTATGTCTCGGTTCCAGGTATGTGTCATTCTTGTTTTAAAGGCAAGAATATATCCAGCACGCGTAGAAATAGAATCAGATATGCTGCTGCATGAGAATTGGATGATTTAGTTTGCATTGTACTACAAGGGGTTCATGCCGTAATCTTTTAGGATATCTATCATACTGTAGTTGTCTAGTATATATACTTATTATGGAAGATGTAACAGCTCTTCATTTTTTGGGACAGAAAGTGTGAGATGGCCGGTGCTTGTACTAGCCATTCTTGCTTCTGTTGTGGGAAGCCAAGCAATCATCAGCGGAACATTTTCTATCATAAACCAGAGCCAATCATTAGGTTGTTTTCCGAGAGTCAAGGTCATCCACACTTCTGACAAGGTACATGGCCAGATATACATCCCCGAGATCAATTGGATGCTCATGATCCTCTGCATTGCAGTGACCATTGGATTTAGAGACACAAAACACCTGGGAAATGCTTCTGGTAAGTTACCCTTACATATTTTGCTAGCTCATACTATATATTTGATCTTAAAGCCTGCGTAAACTTCAAAACACGAATGCATCCAAGAAGAAGTTAATTAATCACTTTTGTTGCTTGGAGTACTAAGCGGTTGTTATCTTTAATTGCAGGGCTAGCAGTGATGACAGTTATGTTGGTTACCACATGCCTCACTTCCTTGGTGATTATCATTTGTTGGCACAAGCCGCCTATTGTAGCCCTTTGCTTCCTAATCTTCTTTGGCTCCATTGAATTGCTCTACTTCTCAGCTTCGCTCACCAAGTTCCGAGAGGGTGCCTGGCTTCCCATCCTTCTTGCGCTGTTCCTCATGACTATCATGTTTGTATGGCACTATGGAACCATCAAGAAGTACGAATATGACCTCCACAACAAGGTTTCATTAGACTGGCTTCTAGCTTTGGGTCCAAGCTTGGGAATCGCTCGGGTCCCTGGCATTGGCCTAGTGTTCACAGATCTCACCTCCGGCATTCCTGCTAACTTCTCCCGCTTTGTAACCAACCTCCCTGCTTTCCACCGCATCCTAGTTTTCGTGTGTGTAAAATCAGTCCCAGTCCCATATGTGCCGCCTGCTGAACGATACTTGGTGGGTCGCATTGGTCCTGCAGCTCATCGGTCCTACAGGTGCATTGTTCGTTATGGATACCGTGATGTTCATCAAGATGTTGACTCCTTTGAAACAGAACTAGTTGAAAGGCTGGTTGATTTCATCCGATATGACTGGTGGCGAACACAGAGAACCAGCTCATGTACCGAGGATGATGCATCAAGGTCTACTGACACGAGCGAGTGTGGACTAGCTGTCATCGGAACAGTAGCATTTTCTGGTGCACCAGCTTATGAGATTGAGGAGACTCAACCGGCAAGTGTATCTGCTGGTTTCCCAACTATAGAAAGTATAGCAGAAGTTATTGAGATGGAACCGGTGGAAAGAAGAGTGAGGTTTGTTATCGACGAGGAGTCTCAGCCTGACACCCGGCCTGAGAATACAATGCAGATGCGCGAAGAGCTTGAGGATCTCTACGCAGCTCAACAGGCTGGGACTGCATTTATACTTGGGCACTCACACATAAAAGCCAAGCAAGGGTCGTCCTTTATGAAGAGATTCGCCATTAACTTCGGTTATAACTGCCTGAGGAGGAATTGCAGGGGGGCAGACGTGGCGCTGAAGGTCCCTCCGGTGTCTCTTCTCGAGGTTGGCATGGTTTATATTGTGTAGACCAGACGGACATGCAATTACCGAAAAAGTTTTGTCTTTGTTTTTATCATGTCAATCTCGTTGATGAAATTTACTACCAGAAAATTGTAAAAGTTACTTCTTTTTTCTTGGGTGGTTATGAGGCTTGACTTGTTAGAAGTGTTTTTATTAGAAGCACGTTAGGCTTATTTGCTTTTATGCCCCGTCCTTTGACGAAAATCTCGCTATTCTCCTGAACTTACAACCGTATGACTGTGCCTCTTACGATTCATCTCGGAAACCTATGTTACCTCCTATGTCAAGTTGTTCAGAAAAAATCGTTAACTTCGATAATGTTCAACTGACCAAAAAAATGAGTGCCCTTACGCCACCTCATTCTTCATAAGCCAACTTAACGAGTTTCTCGTTTTACTTGATAGGGAACTTTAACGAAAAGCATCCGGTAATGTTCACTTTAACGAAAAAACACCAAACAACTGCTATGACAAATGGCCATGTAGTATTATACAAACCACCAGGTCTTCTGAGTTCCGAGTAGTGGCCACTACTTAGTCCCCCAAACAGGCAAAAAGTGGCATTCGTTCATAAAAACCCTCCAACCAAACAGAGAATAAGCAATTAATCCATACATGGGAATCCTAATTAGAACACTTGCTCTGAGCTATCCCCATGGCAACTTCCCTTCAAATTTTTTGGAGCTGCAGAGAGATTACCAAACAGTGGATTTATCAGCAGGAGCTCGTCCTCTCAGCTTAGAGTGCTGGCCAAAACAGAAAAGGGGGAGAAGGAAGAAGAACCAAAGAAGAAAACCAAACAGTCCTTCTTCTGCAATGTGACAGAAGCACTTGATTTTTCTCAGACCAGGTCTGCAGAGGATGCTGTGCTTATTGAAGAAGCTAGGGATGGAGAGATTTTTCAGTGTGACCGACACACGAGGTGGTACACTACGTGTCACTATACAAATGACGGGATATGTGTGTTAAAAAGTTAATAATTTAACAAATAAAATTTCCCACCACTTACATAAAAACACATGGTGTACCACCCGTATTTCCATCACAATAAAAAAATTCTGCTTGGGATGACACTAAATCTGGAGATAGAGTGTCCAGACAACAGATATAATCACTAACTCATTAAATTCTCATCACCTTCTTCAATTTGCCTTCTCAACTTTCAATTTGGTTTTGAGCCCCTTAATTTTTTATAAAGTGTAAATTTACCCACACCGTCCTATACACCGCATTTTATGTTCGTTTTTCTCACATAAATGGCAAATTAGCACATTCAACAAGATTAAGGAGCTCATAATCAATTCTAAAAACAGCTGACAAATCCGAATCACGCCTTAATTTTAAGAGGGATCGATTAACAAAAATTAATTAATTAATTAAACTAGAATGCTTGTGCAAATTTGCCAATAGAGTTTCATTATTTTCATGCAGCATGGGGCTCTGAGAAGGAAAATTGGAGGGACGTACAAGGATTTCTTCGAAGACTATGTCGAGGGTATGTAGCATTAGCAATTTCAAATATTCATATATTCTACAAAGAAATTTAGGACAATATGCACGCAAAATGCTTACAAACGAGAACTGGAAGGACACTAGGTCTAGCAAACGGATCGTATTTAATGCGTTCGTGTCGTTTTCATGTCATACTAATTATATTAACGGGTCGTGTTTGTGTGTATTTTCTTTAAAAAATATTTGTTGAAATAATTTTGCTAATTTGGATAATTGTTTTTTACTTGAAATTAGTGGATGGGAAATATGTGGAGGAGGGGTGGGTGGACAAAACGTTCAAGGTTTGCAAGAAAGATACGGGTGGCGAGCCCAGGGAAGTGGACAAGCTTGGAAGATATGTTCATGTGGCCTGTTTGGAGAAATCAAAATCCGGCAATTTCTTTACCAGACTTTTCTCTGGATGATGAAGGCTCATCAGTTTGCTTTGTTATGTATATCAGATGTCCCAGAGAGCCTAAACATAAATACGTACATTATACATCAATGATCGGATTTAACGTCGGCAATTGCTTGCGTGCCAATTCAGGCAACAAATTTTAACCGGACACACACATTCTCCGTTTCCGGAGCTCTAGGCTTCCGACGTGAAGTTTGGAAAATTAGATCTTTTAGGGCCTTAAAATTATGTTCGAAGATTGAGAGTGTGAATTACCACTCTAAGAACGTCATCCTGCACTTTTTTTGAGCTCAACTTTTTACGCTAGAGAGCAATGCAGCTGTTTGAGTGCTAATATTAATTCCCGTTTCGTCTTTATTAATTTAGGTTTTCCTAGTCTGAGTTGAACTCCTCGTTTAATTTAGGTTTTTCTAAGAAACATACCTGTTTTTGTTAGTTTAACTTTCCTTTTCCGACAATGCAGTAAGAGTTTCGATTTCCTTTGTCCATCAGGAAATCAAGTTTTCTTTTTACTGGTTGAAATGGGGTTTGATAACTATATAATGCATGGTTTAGAGCTGTCTAATTTGCAGATTATTCACACTACCAATTCAGCTCGGTTTAGAACTTGTCTAATCGATCCTGTGTTCTTGAATCATTCTTTGCGATGGCCCGTAATCTTCTGTTGCTTTGTCTCGCCTTCTTTGTCACGCTTTCGACAGCACTCAGTTCTCCAATCGGAGTATGCTATGGAATGCTAGGTAACGACTTGCCACCACCAACAGAAGTAATCAACATGTACAAACTGAATCAAATCGGTCTAATGAGACTCTACGATCCAAACCACGAAGCGCTCGAGGCCCTTCGTGGTTCTGGCATTAACGTCGTAGTTGGAGTTCGTAATGATGAACTTCAACAACTTGCAAGCACTGAATCCGCTGCTGGGGACTGGGTAGCAGCTTACATTCGTCCTTATTGGCCGCAAGTCAATTTTCGATACATAGCCGTTGGGAACGAGGTCATCCCAGGAGAGGTTGCAAAATACGTCCTCCCAGCAATGCAAAACTTGCACAATGCATTGAGCTCCTGGGTTCTTAACTCTATTGAGCAAATAAAGGTCTCGACCGCAGTTGCAATGTCGGTACTGGGTGAGTCTTACCCTCCCTCGGCCGCAACATTTTCTCAGGACACCGCGGAGTATATGGTTCCGATCGCACGATACTTGAACAACATTGGTGCACCGTTGCTAGTCAATGTGTACCCTTACTTTACCTACGTTGAAAACCCTAGCGACGTTTCACTACCTTATGCATTGTTCGCTTCCGAAAACGCTGTAGTGACAGATGATGGTCTGAGTTATTACAACCTGTTTGATGCCATGGTGGATGCGGTTTATGCATCGTTGGAGAAAGCAGGCGCACCCCAAGTCCGAGTGGTGGTGTCCGAGACGGGCTGGCCCTCCGGCGGGAATGGGAACGTGACAACACCAAGCACTGCGCAAAAATACAACTCTAACCTAATTAGGCACGTCCTGTCGTCACATGGCACTCCAAGGCGGCCGGGAAAGTCCGTCGAGACTTACTTGTTTGCCATGTTTAACGAGAACATGAAATCTGGTGAAGCAGTGGAGCGACAATGGGGTCTGTTTTATCCGAACAAGAGACCCGTTTATCCTATCAATTTTGAAGAACAAAGGCTGGAGCCGGTACAAAGGATGGAGCCGGTAACGGAAAGTAATGCGAGTGCACTATTAGCTCAAAGTGCAGTTATATTGTGTCTTTGTTTAATTTCTTTTTTCTTAATTAGTATGTAATTCGTCTCCAAATAATGTAACATTCTTAGATTTTTTTTTTAATTTTTTTAATTTATGTGTTTGTCCAATTTGATTCTCTTCTACGTTTATGAACTGATGATGGAACTAATGAAGGCTTTTCAGAACTGCTAATTAACCAGCAAATTAACCATAATCGAAGATTAGAGGCGTAGCTAAAATGACTGAAAAATATACTCTCTCTATACACCCAATTAAGTTCGACGTTTTCAATAATAAAATTGGAATAGAAATAGATTTTATCGTCATGAAAAAATTAATCAATAGAAGTAAATTTAATCCTTGCGTAACTAAGTTCGCTAAAATAATACACGGACTCTAACTTAAGTTTGAATCCGTCTATCATATTTATTAATTAAAATCTAAAATAGCTCACCCAAGCTAAGCAAGCAAAAACAAAACACAACTTAGATTTCCAGGCATCCAACGATCCAAAAGTCGTCTGCGACATCCGAGGATCCGAAACTCATTAAATTATACTCTTTGTAAGTAAGAAGATAGAGCCAGTAACCTAGGACCAAAATGGCGGGAACAAGCACTTCTTAGCGGGAAAAAACCCAACGACCTCACTTAAAAGCGCGGGAAACCGAATCCCAAACGGCACATCGACAGAGAGAGAGAGAGAGAGAGAGACTGTGAGAGCGAGTGAACTGGGAGGAGAGAGAGAGAGAGAGAGAGAATCAGATATGGTGGGAGTAGCGTACGACTGTCTGGCGAACCCTCTCGGAGCGGTTCGATCCACTTTCGCGAAGGCGATTGCGTCGGGATCCGACCCGGCCTCCTTCAGCGGCAAGGACTGGGGCGCCGTCGATCTCTTCCGCAGTTTTCTCTACGACGACGGCGGCCTCTCTCAGGTCCAAAACCTAATACCCGCTTTCAATTGCTAATATGCCTTTTGATTTTCTCATTTTATTCTCCTTGAAACCCTAATTGTGTATTTTCCCCCTTTTCCCCATTAATCTCTTTTTCTTAGCTGGGCTTATATAATATTATTCTGTGTGCGATGCCAATTAACAATTGAATTTATTTCTATAGCAAAAAAAGATTTGAAATTTATTTATTTGCTTGTGAAAATTTAGGTGCCACTTCTGAATTCTGCAAGTATAAGATGGGTTCAGCCCAACACTCTGGTTCGATTTCGCGGAATGATACAAGACATGCTGGGAAATGAATTCTACGTCGGTGCTTATACGGTAGCAGTCTTATGCCCTCCGATCATTTTTCTTATGATCCAATACTGACTGATTTCTTTGGTGCTAAAACAATGTGTTGTTTGTATTGAAGGATGGTTCTGTTTGGAGGACCAACAAGTTTACCGATGTTCCTCAATTCCCCATGGATTCTAAGCCCGATATGCGATTGTGGGAACGCCGTATGATCTATTGCACACCGGTGAATCTATGTTCAAACTCTTTCTTCTTTATAGCACCATATGCTTTAGTTTTAGTAAAATGGTGGTAGAAATTCAAAGCACATAAGCATATGCCTAGTGTGGTATTTGGTATATGAATTTTCACTTTTTTAGGATAAATGACATTCCTTTAACTTCAAAGAGCCTGCAAGGATTTGCGGGCCGACATTCTTTTGATTTTCATTTTGTTATATTGTTTTTGTCTCTAGGTGCCAGGACAGAATGTTGTGCTAAGAATAGCACCAAACCTTTGGGAACCAACTCTTTATAACCCACAGGAAATATATCAAATAAAATGCAAGAACAAAATATTAAAGACACCAAGATTTTAACGAGGTTCCTCAACAGTGTAACTGGAGTACGTCCTCGGAGCAGTAGGAGCTCACCCAATAATCCACTATCAACCAAATGGGAGTTTACAAAGTGTTGGCAATCTCACAACCCAAATAACCCAATACACCCAATAGCTCTCACACACCAAAGAAACAAATAGAGAAGAAAATATAGTGATTAATTTCTTCTCTATACAAAGCTCAAAGCTATTACAATTACTTTGATGGATGATTACTAACCAAAGAGAAGAGTACCTTCTTCTCTTCGAAATGGGGTTGCTGCTCCAGATTTCTTCTTCTTCTCTGCCCACTGTTTTTCAGCTCTCACTCACTCCCTTTTAAACAATGAGGATAATTGCTATCCTTTAATTAAAACCCCAAAGCCATCCGTGGCTTTTCCCATGGGTCAAGACAAAAAAAAACAATTCCCTTTTTTCCTCCCCAAAACAAGGAAGACACAATCATTAAGTTGTCTTTTTTCTTTTGGAATTGTTTATTCTAAAGTATATGGTCACTTGGCCACATAATCCAACAATCTCCACCTTGGCCAAGTTCCGAAAAACGCCATGATAAGCCAACCAACACAATTAACACACAACATCACTCCCAAACACTAGCAAGAGAACAACTCATGCCGAGCCAAATGCTCCAAAACTCCTACTACTCAACGCCTTCTTTATATAGGCAAAATGTGAGCCAAGTTCAAACAGTGAACAAACTTGGCTACACCAACAACCTTAGTCAACATATCAGCGGGGTTGTCTTTAGTTGGAATCTTCTGGAGAATGATTTCCCCTTCACCAACAATTTCACGAACAAAGTGATAACGCACATCTATGTGCTTGGTCCTCGCATGATGAACCTGATACTTAGCCAAATGGCCAAGTGACCATATACTTTAGAATAAACAATTCCAACACAGAATTCATGGACTGAATCTCCTTCTGAGGCGGTGGTGTATAGAATTATGGATTCGGCAACCCAACAAAGAGAGAAGCGTCAGAGAGTGGATGCTGAAGCTACTGATATCATGGATTACGATGTAATTTCCATTTTCATAATCTGCATATTAACTGTTTCTTCTTTATTGAAAGGATAATCGTGATTAAGTATGCATTTTAACTGTTCTTCTTTATTGAAAGGATAATCGTGATTAAGTAGAAAATGCATACTATATTACAGTGCAAAACCTCCTTATGGTCATCGTTATGATGGGCTTCAAAGCAGCTCAAAGCGGTTATTTGAATTTAGGAAGTTTTGGTTGGTGAATTGAGTAGGAAGCTCTCTGCAAGGGTTTCAGTTAATTGGATTGTCATAGTTTACTTGATTGGCTAGATGCATTCATGTTGCTTTGTTTATTTCAGATGGTTTTTATTTTCTGCACATCCCAATCTCTGAATTGTGCCCTCAGCTTTGTACTGGGAACATGACATCTTGTTTGTCTACCTAACATACTGCATTAAATAACAGGTTTCAGATGATGGGATTGAAGGTTCTTCTTCTCCCAAAAAGCTGGTAAGTAGTACCAACTTTATTCAAATAAAAAAAAACATTAGTTTTCCATTCTGATGGAACATATACTTATTCATACTGAATTTCTTCTTGTTTTCCAGAAAGAGAATGGACATTCTTCCCTTCCTACTCCATCTCAGCAGTCAATTACTGAGGGCACCAGCTCTAGTGTGATTATGGTGCCTGATGTCGACAGGGATTTGCTTCCTTGTCTTATTAAGGTACATTGGACAATTAATTGTACTAACAGAAAAATGATGAGCCGAGATTTGTTCTCTCTTTGTGAAAGCTGATGAAACTTTTGTTGCTTTCAGATATATGATTGTCCGGAGTCTGACTTAAAGCTAAATGAGGTTTTTGAGTTTGTTGGAGTCTTCACTTTTGATTCAGAATTTAAAGAGGACAAGGATGTATCAGATGATTTCACAAATGGTTTTAGCGAAGATGTGTTGGTTCACTTGCCCCCTAATAAGGTATTGGTTAATCTTGCATTTATGAAATTGTTGGTCTCCATATATAAGAAAAGACTAAATTTTGCATGTTTGGTTCTGTACAGCTTGTTTGTTAGTACTTGGTATTGGACTATAAGTACATACATTTTTATACTCTCTTTTTTGTTTCACATTTTTCCCTTGGTGCAGGTACCACGTCTCCACTGTTTTATTCACAGGAAACTTGCAGTTCACGACTTCCTTCCTTGTTCCCCTACAATCGAGGTGATTTTGTGCTCATTATGGTCTCATATTTCCTCAAACAAAGGACTTCTATGCCTGTCTGAGTGTGTATATGCAAACCTGGGATCTCTAAATTTCACCACTTCCGCATTCCTCCCTTAATTACTTAGATATTGTGTTTGACAATGCTATTATTGTCTACCTTATAGCCAAAACCCAACGTGGTGAAAGAGATCAGGGAGTCTCTCTTGAGGCACCTTACAGCTGTTCTTGGTAATGATGGCATAGCTGCTAATTTCATGCTGTTGCATCTCTTGTCCACGGTAAATGGTCCTCCCTCATATCAAAATTTTCGGTGTTGGATCCACATGATGATACTATTTTTGTTCATCATGTTGTTTGATTTCATGTCTTATTTCAATCTCTTAAATGACATCTCTCCTCATCTCCTTTACTTATGAGGTATGATTTAATCTCTTTTTGACAGGTGCATTCTAGAGTTGAAACTGTCGCTGTGGGGAAGCTTTCACTAAATCTTAATTGTTTAAGCAAAGAAAGTGCACCCGTGTTTGGTACTCGGATTGGCCGTGCTCTCAAGAATATTTTACCTTTCACACAATGTATATCCCTAACAGTGGATTATCTCAACACTGCTTCTCTTGCGCCAAGGAAGGATTATGAGACAAGCAGGTAATGAGATTTCTAATTCTGTACCTTAGTGTCAATTTTGTTCTAGTTTTAACTTTTCACATTGCTCCAGGCTGATAACTGGAGCTCTGCAGCTGGCTGAGGGTTCACACATGATATTTGATGAGACCCGGTTGGAAGCTGGCATTCTTAACTCTGTTGGGGTTGAAAATGCAAGATTGCTTAAAACTTTAATAGAGTTGCAAAAGGTGATTTTTCTATTCTATTATACATGTGTCAGTTTATAGCACTGAAATGCACACTGAGGCATGATACTTTTTTATTTGTCCTTTACAGGTGGAATATGATTTCAAGTTCTATAAACTGGACATGCCAGCAGACATTCAAATGGTTGTTCTTTCAGAAGGCAAATCAAACATTTTGCCAGCGGATGTGGTGTTACCTTTCCACCCTTCTTCAGTGGCTTCTGTTGAAGTTACCGCAGAAGCACTAGAGGTTTGGAGATGGTACTTGGCTACTCTTAGATCATTGCCACATTCTATTGAGTCAGAAATACAGAAGGTAAGAGTTTCTTGGGACGATTTGTTACCCTGAAATTGCTACTTCAGTGGAGTTGGGAACTTTGGATTACTAATTTAGTTCAGAAGTGTCGTTCTCCATGTAACAATAAAATGATGGATCCGCCTCTAGCTGATGTCTTTCTGAAACCTTACAGGTGATAGAAAATGACTTGGTTGCGGCAAGGCAAGAAGATAGGACACTGGGAACCCAAGATTTCAGCAGGTTAGAGACTGAAAGATTTGCGAAATGTTCCTTCTTCTTTCGAGATTCGTTAGTAAGCCATTATTCTGTTGCTTGTGCTTGCAGATTGCTGACAATGGGTCGATTGATGTCTATGAGTTTCGGTGAAACCTCCCTATCATTAGAACACTGGCAGATGGTCAAGGAACTCGAGAGGTTAAGAAGAGAGAGACTCAAGTGAATGTAATATTTACTACTGAGATTTGTTGTTACCGGCCACAGTGCAGATGTTTTTGTAAGAAAATATTGTGCCGTTAATGTTAACATGCTTAGCCAATTTACATCAAATTTCAGACTCTTCAAATTCTGGAGTGGACCCTTTTCTGTTTGTTTTACCGAATACCTCTTTAGGTTTTCTGGTCATATGAGGAATAACACTAACCTTCTTCAAACCTAATTTGTAGATGTCCAAAATTGGATCAACGAAGTTAAATCTGCTAGACACAAGCGTTAACACACCTAATGGTAGCTTTTCTCCCAAAAAAAAAAAAAAAAAAAAAACTAATAGCAGCACGTAGAGATGTTGGAGAGCAATGACAATTTACGGCAAAAATTCTTCACCCGTGTCTCCAATTCGAACAGCTGTGCGGTCCGCCCTTGACAATTAGTTCAAGTGAGGGATGCATAATGGAATGTTGTTACCATTCCTCGGTGCCAAGAGAATATGTTCAATTTTGTACGCATTTGTAACACAATTTTATTGTCTACTGATAGAATTTTTATCACCTGCAAAGTAGGGATAAAAACACTTTAAAATAGTAGGGATAAACACACTTAAAAATATTTACAAAGTTATCGTAGTATAACAGTTCAAGCAAGATCGTTTTCCACATGGATTGAAAGAAAAATTTGTATTTAAACTAATCCTTAGCTAATTATTTAGAACAAAGTTTCGAAAATGTTGATTTTGGAATTTAAAATAATAAAAACTAATTTAAATAAAAATAATTAAATAGATCAACGAAGTAAAGAAAGCAAAAGAAAGCGGTTTTGGAAAACAATTTAAACACTAAAATTTTGCCGTCACCATTAACAATTATATGCAATTTTACCAAGTACTTACGAATTTCTACATACATGCTTTGAAGGTTAGGCTTTCCTAATACATATTTTCCTCGTGATGTTCAAACGAAAACGTATATCTAACATGCAACTCGTCTGTGATGTTCAGATCAAATATAAATATGCAAGACTTTGTGAAAACCTTTTGAAAAACCATGCAACCCTTAAGAGCATGATGATCGCCTTAAGTGAACTTACAATTACTAATCACAAAAAGCCCACCTCAATTTCAGGGTGATGTTCCAACAGAAATTGCATCAAATTACTTGTTTAAAAACCGTAATGGTCACAAATTACTAAGACAATTAGATAATTTAATCGTAGTGATTAATAATTCAAAGCAAGCATGCATCCATTCATAAGCAAATTAATAAAATCACATATGCATGCTAAGGCATATGGTTTCTCCCTAGCAAAAGAAACTAGATACGAACAATCATAAAACAAAATAAAGAAAATATATTAACTAGAAAAAAGAATGAAAACAAGGCAAAAAATATGAAGTTCTCCAAAATAATGCTAAATTCTCTCAATGTTGCTCCCCCAAAACCCTAATGGCTAAAAACCTTATTTATACTACTCCAAATTAAAACCCTCATAGAAAAGGTTTTCTAAAAACTAGGAAATAAAATAATAAAAATATAACTAGGAATTACATTTCTATTCTGACTATGAAATCTGCCCAGCAAAGACATAACCACGTTTCTGGATCTTCAGGGCTCCAAATCAGGCCCAAAACGACTCAAATTAAAGATTAGGATCTCCTCTTCAAGTTCCAAGAAAAGCCCAAGTCCAAAATTCATCATCCTCCAGCCCAAAAGTCACAAATAAGCTCTGCAGCCCAATCTGCCGGCACTGCACGCTGTGCATAAATTAATTCGATACGATCAGAAGCTTCAGGATAAAATTATGAAATTTTGCTACAACCTTCTTAACAGATTCACGAACCCACTCCAATTGGAATCACTCAAAAATTCCACCGTTTGACTACTTTATGCTCAGAACAAGTTCGCATGTCCTACATTAAAAATGCATATTAAAGCATCAAAATCTCAACAAAATAATAACCAAAATATACCAAGAATAGGAAATAATATATAGTATAAAATCGACTCATCATCTACCATATACAAAGCAATAGAATCTTGGAGTGTTTGATGATTGTGTTATAAGGGTATTAGTACATGCTATTAGAAACATCCCGTTTTATCAAAGACTTCAAGGTATATGTATCAACAAAAACTATCCACGTAAACATTTACGGGTTTAATTTTACACAATTTGATACAACCACCCCACTAAGCCTTGTCCCATGAGTGCTCTGAGATCGATCATGCTTAGAAAGTGAATTTTAAAGTATAATGGAAGTGGGTGTTGATATTGACCAAATGACCTAGATTGATGGTTGTAAGTGACTTAGCTTTAGTCATAAGTTCAAGTGAGGGATGCATAATCGAATGTTGTCATCATACATGCTTAGAAAGTGAATTTTAAAGTATAATAGTGGTGGATGCATTGAGGGGCAAGGGGGTCAACTAACCTTCCGAACTTCGGTGAACGTTTACGGATACTTTGGATGCTGACCTTCCAAACTTCGATGAATGTCCATGGATACCTTGGGTGCTGCCATTTTGAAGATTATAGTTGGCTTCATACATGCCCTCCAACTAACTTCAGGCCTACCAAGACTCGATGAATGTCCATAGATAGCTTGGGTGCTGCCCTTTGCATACATTAACAAGTGTGCAATATGTCTTTCCAAATGACTTTAGGCCTACCAAGGCCCGATGAAATGGCGATATGTATGCTATTTCTAGTAAAAAACAATTGTGCACTGAGCGCGCTATTCTTACTGACCCCCCTAATATTATTTCCTAGATCCGCCACTTATGGAAGTGGTGGTTGACATTATGACCAAATGACCTAGATTGATGGTTGTAAGTGACTTAGCTTTAGTCATTAGTTCAAGTGAGGGATGCATAATCGAATGTTGTAATCATACATGCTTAGAAAGTGAATTTTAATAAATTGTATAATGCAAGTGGGGTTTGATATTATGACCGAATGACCTAGATTGAAGGTTGTAAGTGACTTAGCTTTAGTCATTAGTTCAAGTGAGGGATGCATTATCGAATGTTGTAATCACACATGCTTAGAAAGTGAATTTTAAAGTATAATGGAAGCAGTGGTGGATGCATTGAGGGGCAGGGGGGTCAGCTGACCTCCGAATTTCGGTGAAAGTTCATGGATACTTTGGGTGCTGACCTTCCGAACTTCGGTGAATGCCCATGGATACCTTGGGTGCTGCCATTTTGAAGATTAGAGTTGGCTTCATACATGCCATCCAACTAACTTCAGGTCTACCAAGACTCGGTGAATGTCTATGGATAGCTTGGGTGGTGCCCCTTACATACATTAACAGGTGTGCAATATGTCTTTCCAAATGACTTTAGGCCTACCAAGACTCGATGAAATGACAATATGCATACTATTTTTGGTAAAAAAAAATTGCGCACTGAGCGCGCTATTCTTACTAACCCCCTAATATTATTTCCTGGATCCGCCACTGAATGAAAGTGGGGGTTGACATTATGACCAAATGACCTAGATTGATGGTTATAAGTGACTTAGCTTTAGTCATTAGTTCAAGTGAGGGATGCATAATCGAATGTTGTAATCGTTCATGCTTAGAAAGTGAATTTTAATAAAGGAAGCTTTAATGAAAAGCCTACGGTACTGTTCACTTTAACGAAAAACCACATTTTTACACTAAAAAGTCAAACCTGGTACTGTTCACTTTAACAAAAAATTATATTTTTACACTAAAAAGTCAAACCTGATACTATTCACTTTACCCTTTATTTTGTCCTTATAGTTAAAACTCAAAGTTTTCAAGTTTTTTTTCATTAGTTTTCCTTTTAATAAATTGTATAATGCAAGTGGGGTTTGATATTATGACCAAATGACCTAGATTGAAGGTTGTAAGTGACTTAGCTTTAGTCATTAGTTCAAGTGAGGGACGCATAATCGAATGTTGTAATCATACGTGCTTAGAAAGTGAATTTTAATAAATTGTTTAATGCAAGTGGGGGTTGATATTTGTCACAGCCCGTCCTGGAAAATAATGCTTGTTGACGTAAATTGAAGAAAATGCCCATGGACATTAAGTTGTGTAATGTGGTTTAAATGTTGTTTTTGGGTCAATATCCTTAAATCGTAATTGTTTGGAACCAATTAGGATTAAGTTATTGTGTATTTTGGTTGTTAACCAATCCTAGGCCACACACACATTCTCTCTCCTTCCCGTGCTGTCTCTCTCGCAGACTCTCTCTCTCTCTTCTCTCTTGTACGGACGACACCCAAAACCCTTTGAAATGTGACAGATCGAGGGTGTGAAGCACACCATTGTGTTCGTGAAGTTCAAACAATTCGATTCGTACTATTTTCAAGTAAGGAAACATTCGATTCCACGTCGAAACATGAACCACCGGTATATACCTTCGATTCCGACGCCGTCAGTTAGTTTGGATGGATTCCGTTAGGACTTAACGAAATATTCTCCAGTATATACTTGACGGCGTTGACTGACGCCGTCAATATGCCTGTCACGTGGCCGCGCGTGGGGGTGCGTATTGCCGTGCCTTGGCGGGAGCGTGGGTGGTCGGAAACATATTCTAAAAATTTGGGGATGATCCTGAGGTTGTGTAGGTCACGGTGGTATATTCAAATACCAAAATTGAGCATTGTATGAGAAATTATTAGCTAGTTTTGTCTATATGCTCTAAAATAACGTTTTTATAGTTAATTCGCATATATGTGAGACTCATCCTGAGGACGAGCGTATCCAAGGGCGACTCGGGGGTTACGACCCGTCGACATACCAGTGAGTGGGCTTTTGGTTTTCAGTATATATTATATACTTGATATTTTCCCAGAAATATATGTTTAAATGATAGTATGCCATAAATGCCATGCGTATAAATATAATTCGTATATGAATTGTTATATGATGCTTTATATATATAAATGTGGTGATGTGGACGCTCAAGTAAGCTTAGGTAAGTTATGTTTGGTTATGTGAATCATCGATGATGTGATATGTGATTGAATAATGTTGAGCTCATAAAACTGCACTTAGGGTGATTGTGATTTAGCCAGAGTTATGGCACATACCTGTTTATTATGTCATCTCCTGCACCATATGCTCATATTGGATCCAATTTAGATGCACAGTCTTGTCGTACAGACCTTTACCATGGTTCCGACTCGTAGGTAACTAGCGATTTATCGCCCAACTATTATGTAAGAGTAGTGCTGAGCATGATTATATTACACCCATTATTGTTGTACAGACCTTTTCATTTGGTTCCGACTCTTGTGCAGTATAGTGCCGTATAGGGCATTGTAATGACTCCGGCTAGATTGACTTTTGAGCTATGATTTCAGCCGTACAGACTACCACAGGGGTTCCGGCTAACATGTTATATTTCTATGAAATTATTCTTACCTGAATTGCTTACTCTGTTATATCTTGGCATGACATACATATGAATATGATTATGTGAAGTATGAATTGAGTTGATATATTTCATATCTGATTATGTATATGCTTATATTCTGATTCTGGGAAAAATTATACATGTTTTACAGCGAGGGGTTAGATATGTTGATAAATGAAATGATTTTGTAAAACATTTGTTTTTGCCCACTCACGTTTTCTGTTTTGCGACCCTCCAAGTTTTAGATAAGTCTGCTGTTGCTGAGTGCGAGGACTTCGACGGTTCTGACACCTCTAAATAATTGTAGGACATCTTATGGTACTGTATAACTAGTACTTGTCCCACTAGACTGCACCTAGACTTTCGATGCTCTGAGTATGAGTGTTTACTTCTGTATCTTACTCCTAACACTTCATGTTTAGTAGTGCACTCTAGTAGTTCGGTTTTAAATTATTCATATATTTCTTATCATTATTGCTTCCGCACTGTACACATGGCTACGTCACTCTCATGTGACGGCTAGCATGTCTTGATCTCGGTCAGGCTGTGTCAATATTAAGACCAAATGACCTAGATTGACGGTTCTAAGGCAATTTCCAACCGGGCTGGTCATAGGGCCATAGGCCAAAGAATAGCCTTTTTTAACACAAAATTCATCTCCAATGGAGGTATGGGCCAAAAACTCTTGAGACCCACCGGGCCAAAATCAAGCCATATGGCTAGTAAGCTGGCCATCTTTAGGCAGTCAGCCCCTTCAGTTGGGCTAGCTGGAACTTTTGTTTTTTTGCTTTTTATGACGAAATTAAAAAAATTAAAATTTTTTTCCTATAAATACATAAGACATTTCTACACAATTTCTCACATCATTTTCACCTTTTCATACTATCTTACCTAATTTTATTTCAATTCTTCACATTCTATCCACCTCAAACACTCCTTTTATACACACCCCTGTCTTACCTCTTCCAATAATCTTTTCTTTAATTTTTTCAATAATTTTCAAATGGCCACATCTTCAAGTGGCACTCAAAATAGGCTCATTCATTTAGCCAAAAGTGGCACTTAAAATATGTCTGGAAACCTTATTTTAATATGGTAATTTAAGTCTATTGACCAATAAAATTACAGAACAAACTTAAAATAATAAACTATTGAGGGGGCTGAAAAATAGCTCCCTTCGGTTGGAGATGAGATATAAATATGGCATAACATTGGTCATTAAAAAAATAATTTCTTGTAGGGCTATAATATGAACGGGGGCTAAACATAGCCCATTCGGTTGGAGATGGCCTAAGTGACTTAGCGTTTGGGATGCATAATGGAATGTTGGAGGCATTCTTAGGTGCCCAGAGAATATGGTTCAATTTTGTACGCATAATGTAATTTTATTGTCTACTATATAAAACGTAATTGAACCCTGGAGTGTTTGGAGAGTTTGATGATTGTGTTATGGGGGTATTAGTACCAATGGAATGTTGCTACCATTCGTAGGTTCCAAGAGAATATGGTTCAATTTTGTACGCATTTGTAATGCAATTTTAATGTCTACTACATACAAAGTAATTGAATCCTTGAGTGTTTGAAGATTGTGTTATAAGGGTATTAGTACATGCTATTAGATACATCTCGTACTATCAAGTATCAAATACTTAAATGTATATACATAATTAAAACTATCCACGTAAAATATTTACGAGTTTAATTTTACACAATTTGATACAACAACAACCCTTGTCCCACCAAACCTCCCACCAAACCTTGTCCCATAAATTGTACGAGATCGATCATGCTTCAATGAAAGTGGGGTTGCTATTATGACTAAAATGACTTAGATGGATGGTTGTAAGTGACAATGTGTCATTGTTTTAACACTGCATGTTATATAATAAGATTGGCCCGATTGATTTTAACATGTACCTGTTTCAGCTTCACGATGAGACGATCATATCTAAATGCCCTTCAAGCAACTCCATCTGATAATAAGACGCTAAAGGAGATTATGCAGATACATCCATGGAAGGGAGGCCAACCTGCAGACACACATCGAGCTATTTTGAGGTTAGCCTTACTTGCAATAATAATCCAGATTAGTTAGCTAAATAATTTAGAGCAACTGAAATTAAAATTAAAGCAAGTTTTCAATTTTTTCAACTCACTGAAATTTAAGCAATTATAGAGACACGGCGACATGGAGCACGGACACTCCGAAACCCCCGAGTGTTGGAGCGTCGGACACCCCGAAGTGTCTGGACATCCTGAAACCCCGGAGTGTCGGACACCCGAAGTGTCTGACATTCCGACACGGCGACACGGAACACGGACGAACCGAGTCGGTTGTTGTTCATCTAGTCATGCGATTCTTTAACTTCTGGGAGAGAGATTGAGATTCTTCAGCGCATCAGGTGTCGACTTGTTAAATAGATGGATTGGGAAAATGGGTTATAGATGGATTGGGAGAGATTGAAGATAAAAAAAGAGGATAAGGAGCTTTGTCCTGATAGATTTGGATTTGAGCATGTAGTAAATGTACGGAAAAAACGAAGTGAAGGGTGGAAAGGTTGAGAGAGAGAGAGAGAGTGTGCGTGGAAGCCTGGAAGGAAGAAACGAAACGAAAAGAAAATGGAAGATCAAGTGGTCAAAGTGGATTTATGTAGAAAATTGACACGAAAAAGCAAGTCTGAAGGAACTCGCTATTTAGGCGAGTCCGGCTAGCACTTATCTTATTTTATTATAAATTTATAGTGCTGATATGCATACACTTAATGACATATTTATCTTTTAACAAAAGACTTTGAAACTCTTATCTAATTAATTACTAAAATTTTGAAAAAAACCAAAAAGTAATTTAAAAAAAAAAAAAAAATGGTGAGAGGAGACAATAGGTTTGGGATCTCGTATCCCTACAAGAGGCGACAATAGGTGCGAGTACTGAGGTTTGTCGAGGGGGGAGTATTGGGCCATATATATGGAATTCGGTGGAAATAGAGGGGTGGGGATATGGAGAGAGATCGGGTAGTGAATTTTGGGTCAGTAGGAAGAAATACGATAGAAGGGGTGCCGTGATTTGAAGAATATGACGAAGGTCTAGGTCTTGGGTCTCAGATTTTCCTTCATTTTTGTTTTTATTTATTTTATTATTATTTAAAGATATGTTAGAGTTATTTTAAATAAATAAATTTGGGTTATTTTGGAATAATGGTGGATGGGGAAATGACATTTCAATTTTTAAATCTTTTATGGTGGGTGAGATTATAATGTAAGTGGAAAAATAGGACACTATGATGAGTCTAACAACATTCTGAATTTATTATATTTGAATTGTTGTGTCTGTGCTCTTATTTTTTAAATTTGCTGTGTCGACATATATGTGCAACATACCTCCGAAAGTGTATAATTCTTCGAACCTAGTTCATCTTGAATCTCTTGAATTGAAATTGTTAGGAATGTCGGTACTACAAGATAGAGAATGCACAAAGTAAAGTAGAAAATGGACGCCAAGAATTTATGTGGTTCGGCAATTTATGCCTACGTCCACCAAACAAGGAATCTTCACTATATGAAAAAGATGAATACAACAAGAGTAGTCTTACCAAGCCAAAGACAAGGCTTGATGGATACAAGAAAGTATAACACACACTTTCTATCACTCTAAACTTCACTCACACAATGTGTAGTGGAACACTCTCACTCTCACTCTTGGAGTGGAACTCTAGCTTTGGACTTGATCCTTTGCTACTCACTCTTCTCTTGATTTTGTTGGTTCACTACAACATCACACCCATATTTATAGGTGAGGGTTTGGCATTCTACTAGTTTCTAGTGTATTCTTCAAACCTCTAGCATAGAAAGATCTAGACTAGCCACAAAAGTGTGGCTTCTAGATCTTTCCATTTGCAACCAAGGAAGCTAGTACTCTCTAGCTTCTTCCATCAACTTAATAACATGCTAGAATTGTCTAGCATGCTCCAGCCATCTCTCTTGCTTACTAGAATAATCTAGAACATTGATCATGGGCTGGACCATATACCAACAATCTCCCCCTCCAGTCCATGAGGGAGGAATTCCGATCATGACTCCAAGTTACCTGGAGTCCATCCCAGCAGCCTTAATGCAGAATTCCAACTTTGATTTTGTGACCACCTTTGTCAACATGTCTGAAGAATTATTATCGGTATGAATCTTCTTCAGCTGTAGCATCTTGTTCTCGATAGCATCTCTAATCCAGTGATAACGAATATCAATGTGCTTGGTGCGTGAATGGTATGCAGTGTTCTTGCTCAAATCCAGAGCACTCTGACTATCACAATAAACGCCATAATCACTTTGCTTCAAACCCAACTCTTGGAGAAACCGCTTCAGCCACAACAACTCCTTGCATGCTTCTGTAGCGGCTATGTATTCAGCCTCGGTTGTAGACAAAGCAACACACTTTTGCAACTTGGATTGCCAAGACACGGCTCCCCCTGCAAAAGTAAACAAGTACCCCAGACGTAGATTTTCTACCATCCAGGTCACCTCCCATGTCAGCATCTGTAAATCCTTCCAAGATTGGTTTGGAACCGCCAAAGCACAAGCACATCTTAGAAGTCCCCTTCAAATATCTGAGAATCCACTTAACAGCTTCCCAATGGTCTTTCCCTGGATTAGAGAGAAACCTGCTCACCACACCTACTGCATGAGCAATATCTGGCCGTGTGCACACCATTGCATACATGATACTTCCTACTGCTGAAGAGTAGGGAACAACTGCCATTTTCTCCTTTTCTTCATATGTTTTTGGACACGACTCTTTGCTCAACTTGATATGATTGGCTAAAGGTGAGCTTACCGATTTGGCTGCTTTCATGTTGAACCTTTCAAGCACCCCGTTCAACATACTTTTCTTGTGACAGCCACAACTTCTTGGATTTTCTGTCACGAATTATCTCCATGCCCAAAATCTGCTTGGCTGGCCCTAAGTCCTTCATGTCAAAGGACTTAGATAACTCTTCTTTGAGCTTTTTAATCATAAAAGCATCTTGACCGACAATCAACATGTCATCAACATAAAGCAACAAAATGATAAATTTACCTCCAGAAAATTGTTTGATATAGACACAAGAGTCAGCATGAGTTCTTTTGTACCCATTACTCACCATGAATGAGTTGAACTTCTTATTCCACTGTCTCGGAGCCTGCTTAAGACCATATAAGCTTTTCTTGAGCTTGCACACCAAAGTTTCTTTACCCTTGACTTCAAAGCCTTTGGGTTGCTCCATATATATCTCCTCTTCTAAGTTACCGTGGAGAAATGCAGTTTTAACGTCTAACTGCTCGAGCTCAAGATCCATGCTTGCTGCCATACCAAGGATAACTCGAATGGAAGTCATCTTCACCACCGGTGAGAAAATCTCATCAAAGTCAACTCCTTTCTTTTGACCAAAACCTTTGACAACCAAACGAGCCTTGTACCTTGTCATGTTGTCGTCATTTTTCAATTTGAACACCCACTTGTTTTTCAATGCTTTTCTGCCCTTTGGAAGCTCCACCAACTCATAGGTATTATTCTTTAATAAGGAATCCATCTCTGACTCCATTGCCTTCATCCATTTATCACTGTCGTTATGAGCTCTGGCCTCCTCATAAGTTTCGGGCTCTCCATAATTAGTCAACATGATATACTCTGATGAAGAATACTTGGTAGACGGTCTTCGACTTCTGCTGGATCTTCTGACCTGATCTTCATTCTCTTGCGGGGCTAGAGGCTCCCCCTGATTGGATTCTCCTTGAGTCTGCTCTTCTTGACTAGGCTCCCCCTGATCAGCAATCTCATGGTCTGGCACATCTTGATCAGGCTCCTCTTGATCAGCATTATCTGATTCTGCAGGCACTTCATTGGCAGTTGCTTCAGGGATGTCATCGTGACTTTCTTCATCTGAAGCTAATGGATCAACTCCTCTGACTGCGCCATCTGGTTGTGCCTCTTTACCCGAATCCCCAATTGTTTGATCTTCATAAAAGACCACGTCTCTACTTCGGATAAACTTCTTCTGGTATGGGTCCCATAATCTGTAACCAAAATCTTCACCGCCATAACCAAGAAAGATGCACGGTATAGCTTTGTAGTCTAACTTCGATCTCTGCTCTTTGGGCACATGCACAAAAGCTTTGCAACCAAACACCTTCAGATGAGAGTAAGACACATCATTACCAGTCCATACTCTCTCTGGAACATCAAGACCTAATGGTACTGATGGAGATCGGTTGATCAAATAGCAGGCTGTCCTTACAGCTTCACCCCAGAACTGCTTAGATAACTTTGCAGTCCTCAACATACACCTGACTTTCTCCATGATGGTTCGGTTCATTCTTTCAGCAACACCGTTATGTTGTGGAGTTCTAGGAACTGTCTTCTCATGACGTATGCCATGTTTTACACAATACTCTCTAAACTGGTGAGATGTGTACTCGCCGCCGTTGTCGCTACGAAGGCACTTGAGAGGTTTCCCAGTTTCCCTCTCCACCATGGCATGGAACTCCTGGAATGTCTGAAACACCTGGTCTTTGGATTTCAACAAATACACCCACACCCTTCGTGAAGCATCATCAATATAAGTAACAAAATATTTATTTCTTCCAAGTGACTCGACTTCCATGGGACCACACACATCTGAATAAACAAGATCTAACAAGTTTCCTTTCTTTGTAGATGGAACAGAAAAACTAACTCTTCTTTGTTTTTCCGAATAAACAATGCTCACAAGAGTTTAACGACGTACCTTTGGCAAAGGGAATATGAGACTTCTTTGCCAAAACTTGTAGGCCCTTCTCGCTCATGTGGCCTAGCCTCTTATGCCACAAGTCTAGAGATGAGTCTTCCACAGCATTCAACTCACCTTTCAAAACCTTGGCATTTGACCGGTACAACGTACAACAAAGTCGTGCTCTTGCTACCACCATTAAGCCTTTAGTAAGCTTCAATTTTCCTTCGCCAATATGGTGATAATATCCTTGTCGATCAAGGGTACCGATGGATATCAGATTGAGACGTATATCAGGAATATGTCTCACATCTTTCAACATCAATTGGCAGCCGAGATTAGTTCTTAAGCAGATATCACCAATTCCAAGAATTTTGGAATAGCTTTCATTCCCCATCTTCACTATGCCAAAGTCACCTTCTTTGTATGTACTGAAGAACTCCCGTTTGGACGTGGCATGGAAGGAAGCTCCATTATCAAAGATCCATTCAATGTCTCTGTCAGAGTTGCCCATATGCAGACATTCACCAACAGACAATATTTCTGGTACATCACCACATATGACAGCGGTGGTATTGCCAGTATCATCTTTCTTCTGATTGTTTCCTTCCCTTTGCTCTCTCTTCCAAACTCGACAATTTTTCTTCATATGGCCTTCTTTGCCACAATGGTGGCATGCACCCCCTGAACCTTGACTTGGATCGGCTAGGACTCCTGCCATGACCTCTAGGCCCTCTACTCTTGCTTCTTCCGCGGTTCTCTGTGACAAATACTTGGCTGCTATCTGTGCCAGAAGTCTTTCTCCTTGTTTCTTCATTGAGCATGCTATTTTTAAACATTATCAAGAGTAAGAACACCATTAGAAGCAGAGTTACTTATACTCACCACAAAGGTCTCCCAACTGTCTGGCAAGGATCCAAGTAACAAGAGCGCTTGTAGCTCGTCCTCGATCGTCATTTTTCATAGTAGCCAACTGGTTGATGATATTCTGGAAATTGTTCAAGTGTTCTGCTACACTTAAACCATCCTTGTACTTCACATTGATGAGCTCTTTGATCAAGAAGGCTTTCTTGGCTGGGGTCTTCTTCTCGAACAAGGACTCAAGCTTCGTCCAAAACTCGCGAGCATTGGTTTCATTAGACACATGGTGAAAAACACTATCATCCACCCATTGTCTAATTGTGCCAATAGCCTTGCGATTCATCTTCTTCCACTCGGCATCGGACATGCTCTCGGGCTTAGCGGCATCTCCTTCAATTGGCTCATGCAAATCCTTGCAATAGAGAATGTCCTCCATCCTTGGCTTCCATGTTACCCAATTGGAGTTGGTGAGTTTGATCATAGTGCCACTTCCTTCCATCTCGTAGTACGAGCCAACCGGGCTCTGATACCACTTGTTAGGAATGTCGGTACTACAAGATAGAGAATGCACAAAGTAAAGTAGAAAATGGACGCCAAGAATTTATGTGGTTCGGCAATTTATGCCTACGTCCACCAAACAAGGAATCTTCACTATATATGAAAAAGATGAATACAACAAGAGTAGTCTTACCAAGCCAAAGACAAGGCTTGATGGATACAAGAAAGTATAACACACACTTTCTATCACTCTAAACTTCACTCACACAATGTGTAGTGGAACACTCTCACTCTCACTCTTGGAGTGGAACTCTAGCTTTGGACTTGATCCTTTGCTACTCACTCTTTCTCTTTGATTTTGTTGGTTCACTACAACATCACACCCATATTTATAGGTGAGGGTTTGGCATTCTACTAGTTTCTAGTGTATTCTTCAAACCTCTAGCATAGAAAGATCTAGACTAGCCACAAAAGTGTGGCTTCTAGATCTTTCCATTTGCAACCAAGGAAGCTAGTACTCTCTAGCTTCTTCCATCAACTTAATAACATGCTAGAATTGTCTAGCATGCTCCAGCCATCTCTCTTGCTTACTAGAATAATCTAGAACATTGATCATGGGCTGGACCATATACCAACAGAAATCTGAATTTGTCTTACTTTTTTCAGAGGTCTCATCAAAAGAATTGCCCAATTAGAGGAAGCAGGGATAACTTGTGGAGTATTGTATGCTTCACACATTATATACCAAGGTTCAAAAGTGACAATACGGAATGAGCCTACACGAAATGATTTTAGCCAGGGAAGCTTTAGAGAGCAGATCAAAATTTGGGTATCAAAAATTTTTCAGGTCCCAGCAGCACTGCATAGTAACATAGAGTCAGAGTATAGGGACTTCCTCAAAGAGATGCACAATGCAGGAGATAAGTAAGAACAATAAATGAACAAACTTTGTTTTATTTTATTTTATTTTTGTTTTTGTTTAATAGCATTTTTATCAACTTTGTTTTGTTTTGTTTTGTTTTTTTTTTTTTATCAGTTTTAAGCAATTGGAGAGTCACCCTTTCTTGCGATCATATGAAAGAAAGGCGTACTTTTTGTTGGACGCTATAACCAAATTGAACAACAATCATAAAGGTTGGGAAGGGAAATACAAAAATGAAGTGACCGACGTCGTAAAAATCTACGACATAATTCCTAATGAGAAGGGTTACTCAGATGTTCTTGGTTACTTATGGAAATATAAAAAGAGGAAATATGAAGACAACATGCTAGGAGCACTCTTGTACTCAAGAAACGTCATTGTCCATATTGAAGAGTATTTTGAACAGAACGAAAGGCCACCTGTATGGATATATATTACCTTTTTATTCATTTCTAGAATTTTGATAGTCCTATATCTAAAGTATTTTTTTATTATAAATTATTGTAGAGTAAAGAGGAAGTCGGCAAGAGGCTCAGTGAATTCTTCCCCGAAATGATGCTAGGCCTCTACAAGTTTGTGGTTAATAAAGGAATTGACATTAGATCTGAACCTAGAAGTGTTAACTTGGTCGACTAAATGACCAACTAGACTCCTCGGTGAGAAAGGTGAGAATTTTGATATTGTCCTGTAATACTAATAATAAGAATAATAATAATAATATTCTATTATTTTGTTATTAATAGTAAAATTAATAGGTCAAGTGAGTTGAATTGTTGTTTTTTTATAACTTTGGGTATGTTGTGCAGGTTGACTGTCAAGGAGATTGTAAGAAGACAGCCATGATAAATGGAATGGTTAAAGTAGAGTAGTAGAGAAACTAAGGAATAAGAAGGAAGACGGTGGGCCCTGTGAAACCCCATATCCCATATTTTAAGAGTTAAGTATAACATATTTATCATGTTTTAAAAATAATGTTATTTTCAAATCGACGCTACGGTAGAATATAAAGTAAATATGATAAAATATTTATGAGGTTTGATAAGGATGTTTATGTTCTCGGGACAGCTGTATTTTCTTTTTATTATCTGAAATAATATGAGTACAAAATTAATTCTTGCCCATTTTTCTCTGTTCTGTCTAACCTTAGAATAACTCACTAATATTTTTCTTTTCTTTCTTCTTCTGTGAAATCCTGTCCCCGGATTTCATTATTTAAAATTTCGTATTCTTAAGATCAACGCGTTTATATTTGCGGCACAAAAAAAAGGTTAAAAGGATGAAAATGCCCTTAATGGACTAAACGGAATTTTCGAGGACGCATTTTATGTGTATATATTTTTCCACATTTCTTTATGTATTTGGATAGTACTCATCGATACGAACATGTGCGCGCAAACGGAAGGTGATTTGGAGCTATAATGAATGAAATATAAACGAGCAAAGGTTAGGGGTAAAATGGTAAATTTGGCCCATTTTGCTGGAAGGCTTCAGAAAAGTTGGGAGCCTTCCCGTTATTTTTTAGCCAGGTAGATGGCGTGACTAGGGGAGGAGGAGCTGCCCAATCAGAATGAGGGAATGAAGGGAAATGAGGGAGAAGGAGAAGAAGGGGAATTGACCCAGACCCTCCCCTCGACCCGACCCGGTTTTTCGCGAGGGATTCCGACGAATTTCACTGATTTTTCCAGCAAATTGCAGCAATCAATCACTACCACACGACTCATCGACCCCATCCTCTAGATTTTCCACCTTGAGTAGACGAGAATTCGTTCCTGTTTCATGGAGGACAACGACATCGGGTCTGAGAGTGATTCATTCGACCAGCACCACCATTAGCTTCCTCTTGAGCCTAGGAACAAGACCCAGACAAGTTTTGGGGTAGCGGAGCAGAGGAGACGTCGAATCGAAGTGCACCTATTTTAGGGTTTTCGGCGGATTGAATGAATTTCAAAGGGTTTTTCGGCCAAATTGGCCTTCGTCCCATGTATAAAAATTACTCCCCTCACTGAGATCTACCTGCCTGTAAAATTTGGTAATTTTTGGAGTTAGGGAAAATTTTCCGGCGAGTCGGAGCAGCGTGTGGGCCGAGACCCCACCTAACCTTCCTAGGCTAAATTCGATACCGATATTCCATATGTGACGTCCGATTGACGAAATATTGTCGTTTGAACATAGTTTTGATAGAGGCCGCCACTTGATCATTATACGAATTGACGATCCAATAGTTAGATCGTCACCAAACTTTAATACGTGATAGTATGTAATATTTGAGGACATTAGGAACTGACGAATTGGGAATCCGACGTACGGATCTTCTCGAATTGAATTTCTAAGTTTGTAAAACTAAACGTCGGCCGCCATTTAATTTTAGCACTTGGCGGAGATCCGACCGTTGGATCGTTCCGAAATTTTAGGATATCGTTCTAGAAGATTAATTAGACTCTTGGGAAGTTACAAATCAGAAATCTGATTGATGAATCTTCCGGATTAGATTACTAGGGTTGTGGACCCTACCCTCGACCTTGATCGATGGTTGACTTTTTAGTCAACTAGCCCGAGTTATTCTAGCGTGTCGTGTATCTTAGAGTGTTGTTAAGATTTGATGGAGCTTAATGAGCTCATTGTGATGACATGTGTCTTGATTTACGTACTAGTGACTATAATATATGTGATTTCTATTTAATTGTTATTTTTATTTTTAGCCATCGATCTATGTTTATTAAATGTGATTTGACTGTGGACTGGAAACGTTTATGAAATGTGATTTGACGTAAATATTTGAAATGTGGTTTATTTTGCATGATTGGTATGATGTGATGAAATGTGAGGGCTAGTAGTGGACCATTAACCCATTGTCATAGGGTTTGTTGCTTCGAAACATGTTTCACCCTTCGTTGCATTATTTCATTTCTCATTTCGTTGAGCCGTTCTACATTTAATACTTGTGTTTTGTTTCATTTCGTTTAGCCCTTCTAAATTGAGTACTTGGTTCATGTATTGTTTCTTCGAGTTGTTGTCATATTTCTTGGGCTTTCACTTAGTTCCGTTGAGTGGTCCGGAATCGTATCCTACTTTAGATTTCATTGTGTGGTCCAATATCCATTGTACTCTGTGATTCCGTTGAGTGGTCCATAATCGTATCCACTCGGATTCCGTTGAGAGGTCCGGAATCCTTTCTACTCCGTGATTTCGTTGAGTGGTCCGGAATCGTATCTTGATTTGGATCCCGTTGAGTGGTCTGAAATCCCGTTTGGTGTCTTTGTTCCTTTGAGTGGTCCGGAACCCGATGTTGATCGATCTCGTTGAGTGGTCCGAAATCGCATGTAACGCCCCGCCCCGATATATTAATTTCGGGAAAAGATATTGGTGACGGCCCAAAATAAACTTCGCTTTATTTAGCAAATTTTAAATCACGATATTATTTAAAATACTTATCTAATTCATTCCATTCACCACTAATCTTTATGTAAAAAGCCTTGATTCCACAAATGAGCCCTAATTGTAATTCCTAACCGAATGTACAATATTATTTTCGATTTTAACACCATTCTCTTTTAGGGACAAATTTCCATTTTAAACCTTTAATCTCGAATTTATTTAACCTCACATATTTTATGGCTACATCTAACTTCCCGTTAGACTGCCTACGTACCCTAAACAGGGATCAAGCCATTCGTAGTTCTCCAATTCAAATTCAATTAAACTTTGGCATTACTACACATAGCTAACAATCACCATCTAGCTTCAAACAAGTGTATCACATTAAGTGCTTATTAAATTTCATTCCAGAACATCAAAATTATCTTAAAAATACGGCGTTGCCTCCCTGGCCACGCACCACCGCCAATGGCGGTGGGCTGTCCTGAATCGCCAGAAAATATCAACTATTTCAAAAAATTACCAAATTTTACAGAAATGTAGATCTTAATGAGTGGAGCAAGTTTCATACCTGCATCAAAGTCCAATTTGACCGGAAAACACCTCAAATCGGTCTCAAACTGCCGGAAACCCTAGAAAAGGGTGTTTTCAATTCGACTCCAAAACCATTCCAATTCCCCAACCAATGTTTGGGCTTTGATCCAGGGCTCAAGGGGAGTCTAATGGTGGAGGAAATCGATGGGATTTCATTCAGAATTTGGTGAATTTTCCCCAAGAGTCCCACGACACCGTCGCCGCCATACACCATGAAAAAGCCACCCTTGCTTCGAACCTATGGGTGATTAACTACGGAGGCGGAGCATGATGATGTTTGCAGGTGAAGGAAGTACCAATTCGCCGAAAAAAATGGTGAATATTGCACCGAAATCAACTCGGGGTGACCGGGTTGGAAACGGGTCACGGGTTTGGAATGGATCAAGGGAACAAGGGGTTTGGTCGTGTGCCTCCCCACTCCCTCCTTTCCTTCCTTGTTCTTCATCCTGATTCGCCCCCTATCTTCCTCCTTTCCCTCCTGCAACTCTCATCTCTTTCTTTCTTTCTTTTTTCCTCCCCCTTCATAGCCACCCATGTGGCCTCTTTCTACCCAAAACAAACTCCAGAAAATTCTGGAGTTCTCCAAATAACGGGGTTTAAAATGACAATTTTACCCCCACCTTCGTTCACTTCTATTTTATTAGTTATAATTCCGTTTGACAAACAGTTTTCGCCTACGCGCTTGTGAGATCGAGCTTTATCCAAATATGCCAAGAAATACAATAAAATATGTGAAGGTAAAATACGTCCTCATAAATTATGTTTAGCCAACTAGGGCATTTCCATCATTTCACTTATCGACAAAGAAAAACCGACGTAATTTATAAAAATTCCTAGAAATAAAAATTTAAAATTTCCCAATTCTATTTCCATAACCATAAATTGATTTATTTTCGATTTTCTCCACATATTCATAATTTTGAATATATAATTCATATATTTAATTTCCAGGGTATTACATTCACCCACCGTTAAAATAAATCTCGTCCCCGAGATTTCAACTATCGAGTGACGAAAATGGATTTAGGGCAAATTCCACCATTCCATTTATAGTGAATAAATTTATAATGATTTGCACTATACGCTCATATTCTTAGCAACATTTACTAGCAGGACAAAATATCCAAAATTTTAGCCATACACATTGGCAAAAATTAAACATCAATCATCAAGCCGCAACCCATTATTGGCTAAATAATTACTAGCATAATGACCACAATATAATAAATTTCAGCCATAACCATCTTCAGCCAATTTAAACATCAAAATTTCAAGCCAAAATCATTCGTGCCCAAGTAATTATCAAAATTTCAAACCAACCCAATCAAATTGACAGATCACATATCAAGAATTCCAAACAAAACATGGAAATTCCCATCACACTCACTGGGTAATGGAAATAAGTTTAAAACCAAATCTGCAGTACCGTTAACATGGAACGAAAACAAAATCTCATTCTATGATTTTCTTTATTTCCGCAATTAACTAAGTTATTCATGGTAAATTTAAAGCCTTTTAAATCTTTCTTTTTACCATTTCTCTTTTCCATTGATTCTAAATGCAGCTACAAATGACATAAATTAACGACTCGCACTTCTAGTGCACCACTCACATTCTATTAACCCAAGAAGATAATTTATATAATTTATATATCACAACTCAATTGGCCAGCCCAACTAAACCTTATTAATCGCATAGCCATAAGAATATGTGTTCCTCAGTGATTTAGTTCATGATATCGAATCCAACAATGACGACTCTTGAATATGGCAACCCAGGCAATAATTTTTGTAATTACAAGCTTTCCTCATCCTTTCTTTTCATTGAACGTAAAATACAACTGGGCAGACGTCAATACTAAACGAACTCAAAATTTCATTTCATAATTTTACTCACATCCATCAATAATAAATGAAGAAAACTTCATGGTCTTTCCACCATTTTAAATTATAATAACCAAATCATAACCTCAGTTTATGATTCCATTCTCACTCGATGAATTTTCATACAAATTTCCATTCATTGCCATTTGGAAATTTACCTCGTAATTATTGGTAATTCCGCTTCCCATTACTTTTGACAACACGAATACTAGAAATTTTGGCCATAAACTGTTAGAGTAAATGTAGAATAATGGAGAATAATTCGAATA